AAGTCTCGTGCAGTGATTATCGCGTTTCGTGAGCGGTATTGAGTTCGCCATGCTGAAATGTCATCAGAGTATTTACACTGCGATTATAAATCTATATCAAACTGAGAGAGGGCAATTTAATTCATGTCTGATCAATACATCTTGGATTTGGTACAAATGGAGTATGAACAGAGAGAGAGTGTGTGTGTGTGTGTGTGTTTTCAGCGATCGTCTTGACGACCCCCTGATGGGACGTAATAGTGAAAATGCCTCCTGCTCCGCCCAAACGGTCACGGCTGACTTGGCGAATAGTTCAGCCAATTAAATCCCATAATGAGCGGCGGCAGTTCAGGAAGTGTGAAATTGCAGTTGCTCTCATTCTGAGAAGAAGAAAGAGCCGCACTCGTTGGCTTATTGATCCCATGTTTTATTTTATTTTATTATTTCATTTATTTATTTATTTTTGGCGAGATGTTTGTTTGTTGAACGTACGAGCCCCTAATAGTTGTTTATTGGCTAAACGAACAGTGGCTGTTGAAGTTTTAGTTCACCCAGAAGCATTCTGTCATCATGTATTCTCCCTCATGTTGTTATAAATGCATATGACTGATTTTCTTCAGTGGAAGTCAAACAGAGATGTTTTGAAGAATGTAGCGGCTGCTCTTTTCCATGTAGTGAATGGGAACCGAGTCTTTCAAGCCACAAAAAGATGCAAAAGCATGAAAAAAGTCATATAAATCAATTATGATTTCATATTGTACTCCATATTCCACAACAATACTGCATGAGGAAACGGTAGAAATTTGAGTCGTTATTTACCGAAAACATGTTCGTCCACTGTCTTTGGGAGTTCACGAGAGAATAATTGACTGGAATGATGGTGCTTTTTGAAGGCTCTCAGTTCACATCTATTATAATTACATGGAAAAGAGCGACTGGTGCATTATTCAAAATATTTCCTTTTGTTCCACAGACGAGAGTTGCTCAGTCAGGTTTAGAAAGATGAGTAAATGACAGGAATTTCCTACGACTTCATTTCAGCACATTTACATGTAAAATATCTCACTTGTTCTTTCTATGCAAATATTTAATACTGTATTAGACAAATATGCAACGAGAGAGTGATGTGTGTGTGTGTGTGTGTTCTTACAAGTGTTGTTAATTTGCACTCTCTGTTCTACACTAATTAGCTACACTCATATGCATCATGGATATTCATAAGCTAGCATGCAGAGTGGACAATTAATTTGCATGCAGGTGATAATTACTAGATTTGGGTGACGCCCTCTTGAGAATTGTCCAATGCTGTCTTACTTCATGTCTGACAGAGGCGGTAAAAAGAGCCGTGACGATGCTCTGTGTGTGCATGTGTGGAACAATCCCATAATGCAATGGGACAAAAGCTGTTCAATTTTATTAACTGCAAAGTCATCAATGTGACGGTCGCACTGAACACACTCGCATTTTAAGAAAGATCGGTGTGTGTGTGTTTGTGTGTGTGAACAGCAGACGCTAAACAGCTGCCGCTGTGCAAAGCTTGTGGGCATGACAAACACGAGCACGTGTGTGAACGCTGCCCTCTGACTGTCTGTCTCTAGAATGTCAGCCGTCCATTTCCTGATGAGCTGCTTCCACTTTTTTTTCACTCAGAAATATTTTTATATCTCACTATAATCAGAAAACAGACATTCATTTGGACACAAGTTTTTAGAGATTATTAAAGTGAATGTGAACAAAAACCTCGGATTGCAACTAAATATAAAGTTCCTTAACAAAATTCATTATTATTATTATTATTATTATTATTATTATTATTATATTTGTATTATGCATACAGGTACAATCAATTTAGCCTACATAATTTAGTTATAAGGAAGCCATTTTTAATTAAAATAATGATTTAAAAGAAACTTATGACTATATTTCACTATATACATTTTCCAAGTGAATCAAAAATTGAAAGAAGTACATACAAATTATTCTGACTTAAACCAATGACCAAAAGGAAATGCAAACCTGTCACAAATCTGAAGAATTCAAATAAAATACATTTGCGTTTTTGAGTTTGCAGTCTTTTTATTTGAGCATAATCAGTGTTTATTTTGATCCTGAATGAATCGTTACGGTTTGGACGGCACACTGAAGGTGATTCTGCTGACTAGATATGATTACTACACAAATGTGGAGTAGCTCAAATATTATTTAATAATTACTGGGAATGATAAATGAAATATGCTCATGTGGTTGTGCTGTGTGGTTTGTTTATAGCCACAATTAAAATAAATAAATGCTTGAACGTTTATACCAGTCAAGACAGTTTGCATAGAATTATTATTTTTATTTATTACATTTTTAAAAAGTAAAAATCTCATAAACTTGACTTTTTAGCCTGAAACTTCAAGACATCCTCCATAAAAGTCATCTGAACCTGACAACGTCTTCTTTTTAAATTCCATGTTGTTATAAAAAGCTAAAATAAGTTCATACTTAGAGAGTCAGTCTGACCCTCTTCATCAAGATGTGCACGTAAGCTACATAATGGTAAACATGCACTCATCCTCAAGAGTGCTTGCAGAGACGCCCGACCTCACTTTCACAGGCTACGAGAACCAAGATGACATGGGAACTTTTTAGGGTTACGTGGGACACGACTGAAATGGTCTCAAACAGGGCCATGTCTGTCTCAGAGACAGATATAGTTTGTGCTTTTATTAGACGAAGCTTCCCCAGTGTAACTGTACAGCAGACAGACTCACACCCTCCGCTGACGCCTACATAGACGATGCCTCATTGAACGGGAACCTCGAGCGCTTCAGACGCTCTAAACGGGCACGATGCTGAATTTAGCACACGATTTTTAAGTACAACACAACATTTAATTAGCTTGAACTTTATCCTCCACACTGGGCGGCTCTTTTTCCCATCGTCTCTGTGGGTCGATCAGGAGGACTCTCTCTCTCTCTCTCTTTCTATGATTATTCCTGTCATTCTCCCATCCGCTCCGGAACCACGCAGCACTAATTAAAGCCTGAAGCTGCAAACGAGCTGACAAGATTTGACTACCTCAGCAAAACCTACAGATGTGCTAAAACACGTGACCACAGACTGAACACACTGAGCTCTGCGACACACAGACGCCTCGTCATTTCAGTCAAATCACCGTACATGCAAATGAGGCGATCGCACAACATGCAAACAACAACCTGCCTGGCAGCCAAATGCAAATACTGATCTAACAATCATCTTCATAACACGCTGAACTAATTAAACATCACAATCACAACAGCAGAACAATGACGATAGACAATGACCAGATAAAAGAACACTGATCATGAGATACGTGTTTAACATCCTCTCTGCACTTGTAGTGTGCTTCAAATCTTAAATGTATATTCCTAAAAAACTGTACTTGCAGATAATATGTGACTCTGCAGCACAAAAGCAGTGTTAAGTCGCTGGGGTATATTTGTAGCAATAGCCAACAATACATTGTATGGGTCCAAATTATCCATTTTTCTTTTATGCCAAAAATCATTAGGATATTAAGTAAAGATCATGTTCCATGAATATATTTTGTCAATTTCCTACCGTAAATATATCAAAACTTAATTTTTGATTAGTAATATGCATTGCTAAGAACTTCATTTGGACAACTTTAAAGATGATTTTCTCAATATTTAGATTTTTTTGCACCCTCAGATTCCAGATTTTCAAATAATTGTATCTCAGCCAAATATTGTCCTATCCTAACAAACCATACATCAATGGAAAGCTTATTAAGCTTTCAGATGTACAAATCTCAATAAAAAAATAAAAAAATAAAAAAATGGAATACCCTTATTAATGGAACAAAAGACAACTTAAGTGACTTAAACAGAGACACTTTCGTGACTGTGAAACACACTTAAGCACACTTTTAAAAAGTACATTTTGTAATAATGGCAAGTTAAACATTTTATTTTAAATAAATATGTTTTAATAATCTTTTATATAATCTCTTATGTTTGAGTTGATCTTAAATGCACATTCAGCAGTACTTTAACCATATTTCAAAGACAAGAGTAATACTCATGAGATTGCATATAAAGATGTACTTAAGTTCTACTTAAGTGGGTCAAAAACACTAAAGTTCAGCTCAATTTATATTTAATATAAATCCAAACTATATACAATTTTAATTTAAACGCAATTAATATGCAATTGTCTAAAAACATTATATTCAGTTCACACTTAAGTCTATTCTTTTAAAGTCTATTATTTCTGCCATAAGTATGCTCAAGTGCACTTATTTTCCACATACAGTAGGTGACCTGTGCATGTTGCTGGTCTGAGTATCATCATGTCTCTCCTCTTATGAAATTGGTAAATATTAGTGCTGTTAAACGATTAATCGCGATTAATCACATCCAACATAAAAGTTTGTATTTACATAATATATCTGTGTGTACTGTTTATATTTATTATGTATATATAAATACACACACACATACAGTATATATTTTGAAAATATTTACGTACATTTACATGCATATATGTACATTCATATAATTTATATTATATATACACGTTTAATATATAAACGTAACATATTTTTCTTAAATATATACATGCATGTGTGTGTATTTATATATGCATAATGAATATACACAGCACACACATATATTATGTAAACAAAAACTTGTATTTTGGATGCGATTAATCGCGATTAATTGTTTGACAGCACTAGCAAATAATAGTAAATATAAACACTAATTGAAGGGTCTTCAAATGTTTTGTTTTAAATCAGTTTTAGCCGTGGTTTATTGTGTGTGGAGCTGCGGTGTGTGTTCATCTAGTCCTGTAATGCACATCGGTGCTTGTTATTTTACAGTATCTTTTTTTGATTTTTGCACCTTGACTGTAAAGCTTTTAGGTTTGACAGGATCGTCAGGCCACTCTACAGACTCTGGAGATTCTGCGTCACGATCAGCTGTGTTCGGTTCAGATGGAGACAGAGAGCAGGCAGTTAAAGTGAGACTTACACTCGGCGCTGGAGAGCAGGACACAGGCGGTGAGCAGCAGGAGACAGTGTCGGACGGAGGGTAACGCTACACAGTCGCTTGGCACAGGCATGATGTTACGACTCACCCGCGGAGTGTGCCAGCTCACAACGCTCCTGCAACGCTCTCACAACCTGCAGAGAGAGACACACAGCAATCAGTCCATCAGAACACAGAGTAATCATCAACACACGGCTTTGCATTTTAAAGCACAACACGACAGGTCTTTTCATGCACTGCTCAGTTTTGAGGTCTGTTTTGCTCCAAGAAAGAAATAAAAGGGAAAGAAATAAACCAGAACACAAATTTAAGCATTTATTGTGACCCTGGAGCACAAAACCAGTCATAAGTAGCACAGGTATATTTGTAGCAATAGCCAACAATACATTGTATGGGTCAAAATTATTGATTTTTCTTTTATGCCAAAAATCATTAGGATATTAAGTAAAGATCATGTTCTGTGAAGATATTTTGTAAATTTCCGACTGTAAATATATCAAAACTAAATGTTTGATTAGTAATATGCATTGCTAAGAACTTCATTTGGACAACTTTAAAAGCGATTTTCTCAGTATTTAGATTTTTTTGCACCCTCAGATTCCAGATTTTCAAATAGTTGTATCTCAGCCAAATATTGTCCTATCCTAACAAACCATACATCAATGGAAAGATTATTTATTCAGCTTCAATTTTGAAAAATGGACCCTTGTGACTGGTTTTGTGCTCCAGGGTCACAAATGATTTGTCTGTGCAGTTAAAGTCAAAATCATATGACTTGAGAAGACTTGAATATAGTGCATGAGTCATTTTGTTATGATACATTAATGCTGATCACTGTATGCTTTATTTGAATAGAAAAGAGCACTTTCAACCTTCTGCTAAACGTCTTACTGGAAGAAATGAAACCTGAAAGCTTGTTCCTGTTATTTGCTCATTTATTAGAGCTTGAGGGCAAGTGAGCGTACAGATGGAGTATGCTGGTGCTGATGATGTGTGTGTGTTTGTGTTTCTCCAGTTCAATAACATGGTGCTGTATTGTGTGCCCAAGCTGAGGCTGATGGGACAGAAGTTTAGCGTCCGAGAGCGAATCGACATCGCAGGGATGGAGGTATGACTTCAGCCGCACGTTCAGCTGCGTGTTTGCGTTTGTGTCTTCATCTCATCGTGTGCTGATGTCCTCTCGTTGGTTGAAGGTTCAGGAAAACGCCAAGCAGAACGTCCCTCACACTTTCACCATCAGCGGCAAACAGCGCTCGCTCGAGCTGCAGGCCAGGTGAACGCACAGCGAAAGTCCTGATGTTTCTCATCAATACATTCACTCTGTCTTTGCTACTAAAGTTTCATGGAGATATTTTGTAAATTTCCTACCGTAAATATATCAAAACTTAATTTTTGATTAGTAATATGCATTGCTAAGAACTTCATTTGGACAACTTTAAAGATGATTTTCTCAATATTTAGATTTTTTTGCACCCTCAGATTCCAGATTTTCAAATAGTTGTACCTCGGCCAAATATTGTTCTATCCTAACAAACCATACATCAATGGAAAGATTATTTATTCAGCTTCAATTTTGAAAAATGGACCCTTGTGACTGGTTTTGTGCTCCAGGGTCACATTTGTTGCACTTACAAATATGTGTCTACAGGTTTCAGTTTCAATACATGCTCTTAAAGTGTTTGTTTCTCCACTTTAGTATCACTTACATACACCGAAACATACAGTTTTATTCCTCTCTATATTCTGAAGGTTTTTACTAAGGGGTTTGTTCATATATCATTCACAAGTGAATTACAGAACATTTAATTACTAAAAACAAGGTGAAAATGCATATTCTTCCCCATATTTTCTGATTTAGGGAGGGATTCAAAGAAAAATCCTCTGGAAAAATATTTAACTCTAATATGTCAACAAAATCAAATGAGATTTTTGAACCTGCCTTTATCCAATGGTCAGAAAAGTCCATGCAGTAAATTGGAGATTAATTAGATAATGCACAATTTGCATTTTTAAATGTACAATTTCAGAAAACTTGTAATGCAGTGCAATGTTGTAATGCACTGTGATTAGATCAGCTGGGGAAGTGTGGTGAAATCATTTTTTTTACCCTGTTCATTGTAGTGTTTTGCCTTAATAAGCTTTTGACTTGGGAATCAATAAGTGCTGAGCGCTGTGTTAAACACACACACACGCACACGCACACACACACACACACACACACTCTCTCACACACACACACACACACACTCTCTCACACACACACACACACACACTCTCTCACACACACACACACACACACTCTCTCACACACACACACACACACACTCTCTCACACACACACACACACACACTCTCTCACACACACACACACACACACTCTCTCACACACACACACACACACACTCTCTCACACACACACACACACACACTCTCTCACACACACACACACACACACTCTCTCACACACACACACACACACACTCTCTCACACACACACACACACACACTCTCTCACACACACACACACACACACTCTCACACACATACACACACACACTCACATACACACACACACACACACACTGTTGGTGAAGCTCATCACAAACTCACCATTCAAATATGTAAATGTACAAGCTAATAAGGAGCTAAATGCATCTTGTTAACTATCAGAAGATGCCCTGTGCTGTTTGCAATCAGTTTCTTCTACTAATGCAAGTAAAACACTCTCATTGAGATGAAGCAGGTTTCGCAGTGAAACCTCTTCATTATTACCGCGGTACAAACGCCGGCTGGACTCTTGCTCACGAGCGGAAGTCAGATTTGGCTCGCGCTCGTCGCCCGCTGACCAATGCACACGCTTGCTATTTCCGTTCACGATAGCATCTCTGGCTCGGGCCAGGCCTTTATGAGCTCATTTCGGCTGCAAACGCACGCATTCAGCAGCGAGACGCCAGTCTGTGTAATATTTGTGTGATTAATTAACAGTTCAGATCTCGTGCTCGCGCCGCTTTCCTCCGCAGCTTTTGTTGGGAGAGCGAGACGGACGAAGGGACAGACACATCCATTATGTGTGTTTTGTATCTCTTCCCGATGAGCCGGTTCTTAGTTGAATACGGATTTCCATCACACTCACACACACGCTCTCTAGAAATCTGACAGATAAGTAATACCGCATGTCGCCCACGTTGGCAGGCGATTTGTAAATAAACGAGAAAATGGCCGTGTTTTTTTCTCCTCTTGTTACTCATCTGTCTGACATTGATCCAGAGAGAGAGAGACAGAGAGACGGACTCAACTGAAAATCACATCAATTCATTCACACGCCAAAGCAGGAGGAGGGAACGTCTCAGTGCACGTCTCTGGTGAACCTCGGGGTCGTTTGTGCTCCTCATTAACATTTATGCAAATCATCAATATCAGCTGCGGGCTTTGACTGTGTTAATGCTGAGACTGGGGTAAACATTAGAGCTCAGTGTGTCCAACATCTCCTCGCTGTATTAGCAAATAAACGCATTTTAATAATAGATTATGCATTAGCTTTTCTCTGTGCTGTGAACACACACATGATCATCTGATTCAAATGATTGTGGTGCTGCTCTGACCTCTGAATGAAACACATCTGTAAAAACCTCTGACAGTCCAGAATAAGCTGGAAATGACGCAATGCAGTCTATTACAAATGTTTAAGAGAAACGTGTTACGTGAAGGACATTAGAAACACACACACACACACACACACACACACACACACACACACACAGTGTCTTTTTTCTTTCTCAGTGGGAAAGCA